ATGTCTATTAAACTATATTATAAGCAAATCTATTATAGTAAATAAAATGAATAAATATATACATATCATCATAAAAATCAATATAATTCTCTTATGTAATATTTCTTTTATCAGAGTATTTTTTTTGATAGTATCCTAGTTTTCTGCATAATAAATACTTTCATTATAATTTTAACGTTGATTTTCACTAATAATTTCTTGTATATTAGCTGAATCTGTAATTTCACATATTGTAGTATTTTTTTCTAATAACTCTATAGTATTCTTAATTAGTTTTTTATATGAAGTATCTTGAATTTTAGTAATATAAGAATTTATTATCTAATTAATCAAATGCTGCTGTAAAGTAATAATATCATTATTATATTTATTATTTTCAATACTTTTTATATTTATATAATTATCTTATAATCTAACATCATTACTATTATAATTTTATTTAATTGATATAAATATTATTTTGATTTATTTATTACATTTTTTACAAAATTATTATTATAGTATTAGCTTGTGAATCTAAATTTTTAAAAATAAAGATAAAATCTTTTGTAAGTATACTATAAAATTACTCTTTTTATTATATAATAAATATACATCTCAAATAAATTTGATAATGTCAATTATTCTTCATAAATAAATGATTCTAAAATTAAAATTATTGTAAAGATAATATAACACTTGAAAAAAATTGTAATAAAAGGTGTAAAAGTCTAATTATTATATAATTTACCTTAATATCTATTAATTGATAGTATTAAATTTCTTTTTGATACCTTTTATCTGTTGCTTTTTTTATATCACAAAGGGTACTGACACTATATTTTATTTTTTTGAATAATTCTATTAAATGATTCAACATTTTGAGTACTCTGAATGTTATCATTAAATTAAAATGGAGTATAAGTCTTAGTCTAACTGATTTAATTAGTATATAATATTCTTATCATATATCTTTCATATTCTGAAAATTTTCTATCATAAAATTCTAACACTGTTTAAATAATTTTGTACTTATTTTATTTTTATACAAATAAAATGCTTTGCTAAATAAATAAAAATTTGAGTCTAACTTTTCTTTAAGATTCTTTATTACATTTTGTTAAATGTGATTAAGATTATAAAAATGTAGCATAGTTAGTAAATCTTATGAGTTAGCATTAATAAGACTAGGTTTTAAATCAGTCTAAATTGATTTATAATTTTATTATTGGTTGCTTTTACTAAATATTATAAATTTTATATATATGTTAAAAATAATTTATCTTTTACTAGCATATTTGCTATATTCTGAAACCTTTTATAATTATTTTTTACTATTAATATACTTAATACATATTATACTTGTTAGATTTACAAGTATTATCATTTAATATATTATATCAGAAATCATATGTTTTTAGTATTTTTTTTTTAATATTTTTAATTATATAATTAGCATAATTTTACAATTCAAAAACTTATATTTTTTATTATTTTATTATTAAATTATTAATTTTAAACAATAACATAAGATGCATAAACTGGATTTAGCTCATGATTATACACATTTTTTAATATTATGTATTTATTTATTATGCTATTTTTAAAAATGTAAAATTAATATATTATTAATAATTTGTTTTGATAATACTATACAAATGATATAAATTTTAATTAATTATTTTTTAGTATTTATAATTACTACTTGACAAATATTAAAATAATTTTCACTGGATAATAGTTAGATCACTGAATTTTTATCATCACAAAAAATCTGATATCTAAAACTATGTTCTAAATAATATTGATATATAAGTAAATTAATTAATAACCAATCATCAAAGCAGTTTCTATAGTAAGATTATATTAATAAATATTATTATTAAAAGATCATTCTAAAGGTAATAAACAGTCTATATCATCAATTTCTATAAAATTATCATCTAAATTAACTCAAAAGATAGTTTTGAAAATGGCTCAATAGGTAATATAAAGGTAATATAAAGGATAGCTCAAAGGGTAGCTTAAGGGTTTAAGAGGTTCAGAGTATTTAAAAGATGATAAAAGATTTACATTAAAAGATTCATATTATGAAAGATTTGTATTAGCAAAATATTATTAAGAGCTTTAGAATATGACTAATAAAAGTCATCAAATAAACTATTATTATCATAACTAGAACAAAAAGAATTAAATTTCATATTATTATCTAAAGAAATTAGCTATTTAATATTATTTATCATTAAAGAAAAATAAAAAATATAATGAAAAAATGGTATTTTATATATTAAATGTTTTTTTGCATTATAAAAATCAGAGTAAAATTTACTTTTTAATAAAATTTACCATAAAATTTAAATTTACAATTCATATAATACAAAATTAAATTCAGATAAAATTCACTTTCAGTAAAATTCATTAGAAGTTAATATTAAATTAATCCTATTATTATATATTTTTTTTTATTAAAACAATAAATTTAATATTTTCAATAAAATTTTTTTTTAAAAATATAATATTATAATAAATTTTGATATTTAAATTTTAAAGATTTAAATATATTTAAAATTAATAAAATATACAAATAATATAATTGTTTAATTAAAATTTTTATCTTAAGATATTTTTTTAAAATGTTAGGTATAAAGCAAAATTGTTAAAACTATTTAAAAGTTTTATTACATTCAATTATTATTTTATTATATTTATTTATTACTTTTATTATTTTGACATATTTATAATAACTGATATTACTAATTGATTTTACAAATAATATTATATCTTTGATAATACATTTCTTTGATTAGTTCAGGTAAATATAACCTTTTATTATTTGTTGATAACTAATAAAATATTCTTAATTGTTTTATTCTGTTTTTGCTTTTTATATTTTACAAAAAATATAAATTGTTAAAATTGTTAGTAATAAATTTTTTTTTATAGAATTGAATTATCATTTACGTTATTAACAAATTTTTGAAAGAATATCCAACTTTACTGAAAATTTTGGCATTAGTTTCTGATCAAGATAAAGTAATTTTTTTGTCATCATCTGTTAAAATCAAAAAGTAAAAAAGTTTATTACCGAAAGTGACTTATGACATTATGACCGTTTCCTTTTGGAATTTTCAAAAATTGTCAAATAAATATAATAATAAAAAAATTTTAGCCAAAACATGCTAAATTTAAATCATATATTAGATTTGGACTCTATTTTTTTTTTGTTTAAAGTGGTCGCTAGAAAAGAAAGAATTCAACATTAAGGATAAAAACATTGCTTGAACTTTATTTTAAAAAGGGACTATTTTTATACGGAAAAAGGTAGGAAAGATTGATAACCAAATTTATATTAATTAATTACCTAATTAAACCATAAAAGGCTTTCGAACACGGGTAATTTATACGTTGCTACGTCAAATAGACATGAAATCATATTTGGCATATAATAAAATGAAAATATTAAATTATTATGAAAAAAATAATTTTTTATTCTAAATTTATAACATTGTTTTAATTAATCTAGTTGCAACCCTAACAAGGTACGGAACCTTCCTATTACTTTTCTGAAAGGTCTCTTTTGTTACTTCTTCGGTATATTCAGATATATGTTCCAACTCCTATGGATATATTAAATTTCCAGTAGGTTAATCTTGTCAAAAAAAAACCAATTAATGAAAATTAATACTTTACCTCGTGAATTTTTTTCCTCAATTGTATATTATTTGTTATCAAGATTGCTTGTGCTTCAAGATCTCTTTCAGTTGATCGATATCCATAATTAGAAGATCCAATTATAGTTAAGCTTGGCCACGATTCTCCATGAATATAACACCATAAACCTAATCCAAATAATCAAAATGATGTAATAAATAAAACTAAAGTGAAAGTGATACAAGGTAAAGACTCACCCTTGGCATGAAAAGTCCATCCTGGTCTTTTATATTCTTGAATTTTAATTAGATGTTCTTTTCCGTGACGACATATGTCCGAAAAGAATTGCTTTTCTATCAACGTATAAGCTTGTGGAAGATGCTTTGAAATGCCTTTAGAGGAAAAAAATCCATTTGCCTCGAAAGCAAAAAACAAGTTAATCTCATCTGTTGTAAAATTGCGGATGAATTAAAAAGATCAATGCAAAATACCTCTGGTGAAGCAGATAATAACTGAAATTTTGCCATAGCATTTAAAATTTTCTCTTTATATTTTTGAGTAAAATTAAAATATCCAGACGTAAAAAATACTTTCCAAAACATATCTTCACTAACATTATTCTTGATTCCTTGCCTTGAAATTGCATCCAAAACGGTTAATGTTGCAAGTTCATCTTGTCTAATAGATAAAGGACACATCTGTATAACTGGAAAGATAACCGTGTCAAACTTCTGTAAAGAATTGGTATTGTTTATTTGTTCGATACAACGTCTCATCCATTTCTTGATAAAATTTTTCATGATGAGAGAAGAACTTTTCCTAAATAAAGTGCTTTGCGTTACAGGATCTGGTTGATTTGTTAAAACTAACTTATAGGAATCTTCATCTATGAGTTTAGTTGGTTTCAAAGTGTATGAAAAAGATGCAATTGTCTCTACAAGATCCGCAAAATAGCTTGTCAGAGATAATGTTCTTTCAAATAACATGTATCTATCCTGCCTATTGATAAAATAATCATGGTTCAAATTGGCACTACAAATATTCATATTTAATTAGATAAGTAAAAAGTTTTATTGATAAATGAAATTGTGACATTTAGCTTACCCACTTAGCATGAGATTGTGATCAAAGATAAAAGATTTAATATGCATCAATCCAATTCCTTCATTAAATCTAGGAGGAAGGAATTGTTTCAAAATTCCTGTCAGATCGGGAGTGTGATATAAAGATACCGTCACTTGATCCGGAAACTCTTTTACAAGTGGTAAGAGAAGACATGCAGGACTTTTATCTAAAGATGTTTGACCAATACGCGTAGCTCGCATACAATCAAGTAAGATATGAACTTTCAATTGCTTGGATTGTTTTACAGCTATTTTTAATGTATCAACCTAACAAAAAATACATGTCATTAATCAAAAAAAATCCTTTGTGATAGATAAATAAGAACTTATTTAGAGCTCCGAACGAATCTAGTCAGATCGGGTGATCCGTCGAAAAATTCAGTCAATTAACACCACCGATTTATGAAAAGTTCGATTAATCTAATGAACTTTAAGAACATAATTTTGATCTATTGATCCAATATTATAAAATGCTACATCTCAACGAATATTGCTCCAAATTTTATGAACCATTAACCAAAAGATTCGCCTCGATTAGACAAATCTAATGCTCGATTCTTAGTTGTCGAGGTTACTGATCGTTTATTAATCTGATCTATCTGACCAAAAACCCGACCCGACCCGTTGGAGCTCTAAAATTACATTATTACCAATTCCTTCTCACTGTGGCCGATGTACAACGCCGCCAAAACGATTCGAAATTTAGCAGCACGAATTTGAGCCTTTAAAGAGAACAATGAATCAGTATGAAATAATTTGCAATAAATAATGCATAATTATTTACCTTAAGTTCTTCGTAAAACTCATGTGGTTCTTGAAGAGGCCTGATTTGTTCTCCGTTGAGCAAAAAATATGGAGATACCTTTAACAAATCTTTGAAACTTTTAAAAGGTGGTTGATCTATAAACTCGTTAATGAACGAATTAGAGCTAAATGAATTCAAATTATGTGAGAATGTCATTTTGCGTTTCGATTTATATTGATTACGAGAAACACGGGCCAAACTTGAAATAAAACGAATATTTTTTCCATGATTTATTTGTTCATTCGAATAAAGTTTAATTAATGATGGTTGATCATTTCTTATTAAAAAGTACCAAGACAGGTTAGAAATTTTTGTTTTTTGTGGAAGTTTAAAAACAATGTGTTTACTACAGTTGGATATTGCAGAAACTACCATTTCCAGAGAAAAGTTTATTTCGTCAGAAGCTAAAATAGCATTTACTTTGATTATCACAATGTTTTAAGATTTTGGTGATGTAAGATGAATTACGCAATTGTTCGATCGACAATTTGCATTTGGATTAGAATAGATTTTTTCAAATTTTTTTTTTTGAAATTCAAATTGAATTCCTCTCTTTTATAGAATCAAAATGGCAGAACAGTTAGAAAAAGAGATAGGTAATGTTAAAATCTTTCCCATAAATACATAAAATAATCGATTATATTAATTTGTTTAATATAATTTATTTAGATTTGCTTGAAAAAGTGGAACTTCGAATTGCACTTGCTGAAACAGATCAGAAATTAGAGAAAATTCTTGATACGTTCCTAAGCCCCATTCTATTAAAGTTGGAAAGTCCACATGAAGTTATGAGAACAAAGGTCTGGAATAAATATAAAAAAAACTATAAATTTAATTAAAATGTTAAAAAAAATTTTAAATAATTAGGTGATGAGCATTTTATCTCATATCAATAAGCGAATTCGACCTAAAACAAATATCAAACTTCCATTAATCCCTCTTTTGGACCTTGTTTGTACCGAAAAAGTTACTAAATCGATATTTGTTAAGAATTTTGGTATTATGTATCTTGAGATGGCATATAATAGATTAACGGAAGAGGTAATAATTTATGCGAGGAGGTAATATAAATTCTCGCTCCTCTTTCATTATACTATAAAGGATATTTTGTTATTCTAAAAAATTAAACTTTTGAATTTCATAGGAACAAATCGCTAACTTACCAAGTTTGATTAAAGGCATTAATTCAAAGCCTCTTGGTCAAAAGCAGACGTTAGTGCATATTATACTTTTGGTAATTAAACGATCTTATTACAAAGTATTTTGTTTAAAATAATAAATAAAGAAATTCATATTTTAAATTTCGATAATTTTGAAATAGGTTTTAAAGAATTATAAACCAAAGCATGCAGAATCACCAGCTGAACTTGATCCATTTGATTTTAAAACACATCCTGGTGATGCTAACTTTTTGTTAGAAACATTCTTAGATGTTATCCTATATAGGCAAATAAAGGAGCAACCTGTTATGGAGTTAGGTGATCTTTACATATTTTTACCAACACGATTTATTATGTTTGTTTATTAATGTTTGAATGATCATTTAAGACAGCAAGATCCCCGACTTGTTCAATTACCATCAGTACCTCCGGGCCTAAGTATTGATGCTGTTAAATTTGTAACTAATGATGGAAAGGCACAATGGGTTTCAAACAATTCAGAGTTAATATTAATTAAGGTTCCTATACTTTCTACTGCAATACTAAGAGTGTTATTATTATGATTTTTTATAATAACGGCTTCTGATTTCAATCTAGATTGGCATTCTTAAATTTATTAACTCTTCCGTAATATTACCAGATTCATTGCATGAAATTATACATTTTAAGAAATTCTTAGTATTGCTTTCTGCATCATGTGATTCTGCACATGAAGTTGTGAGAGGCGGAGAAGATGGTCTTAAAAAGAATCAAAAACCAGATTTAGAAAATAAAATTGTATTATAAAGATTTTTTTTTTAATTAATATAATGGTGTAAGAATTGCAAATAAATTTTTTGATCAAATTGTAGGTCGTAGATGGATTATATTCTTTATACCAGGGTAGTCAAACCGGAACTGTAAACAATCTAGGTATTAAAATCACCATTATTATGAAAGTTGTATTTGTTAATGAAAGTACTAATTATTCTATAACCTAAAATTAGATCAACAATTACGACGTCTGCCAGCTTCACCATCTCTCAAGTATAAAATCATGGGCTACCTTTGTAAATCAAAGCTTGCAACAAACACATTTCCTGCTTTAATTCAAGTTTCTTTCGATAACCTTTATGGTAAGTGAATGTAATAAACTTGTATGAATTATAATATATATCTAATATATATTTTAATTATTTTTCAAGGTCCTTCAACAAACGCAAAATTGCAAAATCAAGGAATGGGTTTTATTCAATGGGTAGCAAGGATGGTGTGTTGGAGATTATTTTATATTATATTTGATTTAAAAAAAAAAAGTTAAATTAAATTTACCTAATATGATTTAGGCCGACACATCGATATTGAAACCTGTTGCTCCGGTTTTATTAACTGGACTTTTAAAATTAATTAACGAATCTGGAGGTTCCGGTATGATATAAACTATGGATGTAAAGTTTAACGATCAACAAATTTCTGTGATACTATATCTATATTGATATTTATATTATTAGAAGGAGGGAATCTAAGAACGGGAAAAGAAGATTTGAGAGGATTTGCTTATGTAGCTATTAGTTTGTTGGCAAGGAGAGGTATTTATAAATTTGTGGAAAGTTTACGCGCTCAAATAGCATGTTACTGATAAGTTATTGATAATAACAGTTCCAGAGATTTTCCGTAAAGATTTATCTATACTTTCGAATTTCTTTACGGCTATCACGGTGGAAACCAAAAATGTTAAAATATCTGTTCAAGAAGCTTTATCTAATATGACAGAAGCATATCAAAATGTTGAGACTTGGGCAAATGAAGATGCAATCAGGACTATTGAAAGCATCTTGGAAGAGAATATCGACAAAGTTCGTTACAACAGTATAATTATTTACTATTCTCTTGATAATAGTTAACTAAATCGAATTCTTTCTTTCTAATATAATTAGCCTGAACACCAAGCGCGTTATTGTGCCGTTAAATATGCAATCTCGCTATTTCCATTTTCTCATATCCTATCTCGGTATATTTGTCTTCTTGCTTCAGCTGACGAAAAGTTAGAAGTAAGAGAGATGGCATCACGTGGCTTAGCTTTTCCTAACTCAAAAATTCGCAACCTTGATCAACCGGACAAAGAGATTAAAATCCCTCCTTTCTTGGAGTTTGTTAATTTTATTAATAATAAGTCATCTCAGAGAGCAAAGCAATTAATCAATATTTTACAGTCTAGCCAATCTACTGGAAAAAAGTATATTTTTGGATATCGTACAGAGGTTTACATTAACATCTTGCGATTCCTTAGACATTTAATGATCGTAAATGCGGACCCGAACGCGTTTATTGATGAATTTGCTAATGAGTTCGATGATGAACCTAAGTTATTTGATTCTGATACGCGCACCCGAGTTAAACATTGGATAAAAGAACAATGGAAATCTGATCAGGAAATTTCAGATCAAATGGAATTAGATGAGTATAAGCATAGCGAAGCACTTAATGTATATCTTAGATTAATCGAGAAGGGTTTATCGAACGAAGGTCAAATAGGTAGGGTATGCGTATATGTCTTTCGATTATAATTTACGGTTTTAATATTAATTTTAAAGATATATATCAGATCCATTATTGCAATCTACTGCATCATCATGTCTTTTGGAGCTTATTTCTCTTGGCCCATCATCTCTTTCTCGGTCCTATGAAAGTCGAGTTAGCTGGCTAAAGGTTAATAGATAATTAATTTTATTTTGTTATTTCATTCATTAACACCTATTTACTTTTTAGGATTTCTTGAAAGTAATAAAACTTGAAGTTCGTAACTCTATGGCGCATATCCTTGGTATAGTTAGTACAAGCGAGATGGATAGTCCAGAGAGATGTGCAGCTATTCATGATTTGATGAAAGAACTCTTAACCATTTCAAGAGACCAATCTCGACAGGTTAGGATTTGTTTTATCGCGTCATAACAATAAAAAAAAATTTTTTTTTTTATATTTACTCTAATCATTTATCATATAGATATCTGTTGAATATCATCACGGAAGTATACTCTCTTTGGGGTATATAATTGGTCGATTGACTTACCGATATCCTAAAACATATAAATCTATGATACCATCAAATCTTTTATCAGAAACAATTGAATTAATTGCTAAAGATTTAGATTCATCCACAAGTTTATGTGTCATAGGCGCCTCTAAAGCTTTAGGTGAAGCGGGTAGATATACTTCACTACTAGATTCGGTGAACGGTAACAACAAAGGAAAAAGAAAAATGGATGATGCATCATCTATACCAGATATTTCCACAAATATCCTGAAAAAATTAATTAATATTGTTAAGACCACCAAAGATGTTAAGGTATGCATGTAATCTGTTAGCAAAAAAAAAAAAAAATAATCCAACTTTTAATTTCTTTTATTTCTTTTGTATTATCTGTTTATGTTAGATCAAAGAGACGTCCATTATCACGCTTGGACATATTGCACTCGGAGAGCCTAATTATGCAGAAATGATTTTATCATTATTCTACGACTTGGCGACCATTATCAATAAACAAGTGGAGGTTCATTTCACTATTGGTGAATCGATCACTTGTATTGCCGCAGGGTGGGAAAGTAATTCAATGGACCAATATTTGGACATTGCCGATGCTTCACCTTCACTAAATACAGTCGATAATGCAATAATGGAAGGAATCTTGGTCAAGTTATTTAACGATTTGTTGCCTTCAAACAAGACATCTGTGAAGAAAGCTGTTTGCGTTTGGATGTTATGTATAGTAAAATTCTGTTCTAAACATGAAGTTGTCAAGGTAACGTGAAAGTAATTAATTTATAGAAAGGTTTCAACATTCAAAATTTATATATTATTAGGCGGCTTTACCTAGAATACATGGAGCATTTTCGCTTTTATTAGCAGATCGCGATGGTACTTCATGTTTATTTAATGTTTAATCATTTTGCATATAAAAATCAGTAACGTTAAATATGACCTTGCTTTATTAAAAAGAATTTACTCAGGAAGTTGCTTCTAAGGGTATTGGTTTGGTCTATGAATTAGGAGATCAAAAGATTAGAGAACAGCTTGTTGATTCTCTTGTCGGAATGTTTAGTGAGGGAAAACGTCCGAAAGAAACAATAGATCAGGATACTCAGTTGTTTGATTCAAACACACTCGGTCAAGCTCCTGACGGATCAGCTATTTCAACTTATCAGTCTATTCTTTCTTTAGCATCTGATATGAATCAACCAGAGTTGGTTTATAAGTTTATGCAATTAGCTAGCCATAATGCTATGTGGCAATCACGTAAAGGAGCAGCATTTGGATTTTCATCTATCATTGCTCAGGCAGAAAAGGAATTGGAACCGTATTTGAAAGATCTGATACCTAGATTATATAGATTTCAATATGATCCAAATCCCCGAGTCAATGAAGCTATGACAAGTATTTGGAAATCTTTGGTGAAAGATCCAAAAAATGTTATTGATGAGTATTTTGATATAATTGTTAAAGATTTACTCAAAGGACTTGGTGACAGGTTATGGAGGACCAGAGAATCTAGGTATGTCTGTCTGTTTATTATGAAATGTCATTTGTTATACTTGGGTCATTTTCTTATCATAATGTTATTTTGGCAGTTCTAATGCTTTAACAGACTTGTTACAAGGAAGACAGATTCAACAACTTGAACCATATCTGCAGGATTTATGGAATATGAGTTTTAGAGCTTTGGATGATGTCAAGGTTTTTTATTTCTTTTGTATTTAATTACATCATTTATTCATTGAATTTATATCAAATTTTTTTAACGTTTCATTATGAATATTATAGGAAAGCGTTAGAATAGCAGCCTTTAAAACTTGTCGTTCATTAACAAAAGTTACGGTGAAATATTGCGATCCTAGTAATGTATCAATTGAAGATGGACAAAAAGCAATGAATATTATAATGCCTTTCTTATTATCGAAAGGATTGGTATCAGATGCTGAGGATGTTCGCAAATTTTCGTTGACTACAGTCCTTAAAATATGTAAAACTGGCAAAGAATTATTAAAACCACATATTGCAGAAATTGTTGACAAGTTATTGGAAGGTTTATCTGGCATGGAAAATCAGGTCATGAGTATGTAACATAATCTCAAATTTTATTTTTTTTTTTTTAAAAAAAAAAAAATTCACAATTAACTTTACTAAACTAACTGAAATTCCATAGATTATCTTAGTTTTCATGTTGATAAATATGATGTCACACAGGAGCAGGTCCGTATTCTGTATATGTAAAATGCCTTCCTTTACAGTTTACTTATTGACATATTTATGTTTCCGCCTTTATAGCTCGAAAACTCGCGTTTGTCGGCTGCTAAAAATTCTCCAATGATGGAAGGAATCGAATCATGTATCGATTATATCGATGAAAAAGTCATAATAGATTTAACACCTATATTAATTAACCTTATACGTAAAGGAGTTGGTTTACCAACTAAGGTATATGAAATTAATTTTTAAAACAAATGCTTTAGATTATTTATTTAAAAGAATTTGTTTAAATGATATTAGGCTGGTTGCGCGAGATTTGTAGTATCGATGTGTCTTAAAAAAGCCGAAATAGTAAGACCTCATGCCAATACTTATTTGAAGGCTCTAAGTGGTGCTATCCTTGATGTTTCTCCCGCAGTTCGCAAGTCATATGCTGTGTCTGTTGGATATGTTGCACATTTGGCCTCTGATAATACTTTAATCAAATTTATCGGACATTTGAAAAAAATTTATTGTGAAAATAGCGGTACGTGTGAATAGAATATTCATGAATAATTAGTATTATAAGCAAATTTTTTAATTTTATATTTTAATGATTTTCATAGAGGATGAAGTCAGGTCTATTACAGGAATTACAATACATGAAATATCAAAGCATGCATCTGATGAACTGAAAAGAATTTATGTGGAAGTTTTACCACTTGCTTATTATGGCAAACATGATTCTGATTCGAGCATCAAAAGTGTGTGGAACGAAATCTGGGAAGATAATGCTTCCGGTATGAACATTTCTTCGATATGATTAGTAATTTTTAATGTTATAAGAAAGGTTGTTTATGCTATATTATATATAATTTTATTTATAGGATCTACGGGAACAATTAAATTATACTTAAATGAAATAATTATTCTATTGTCAACCTTGTTGGAGTCTCCTTCGTGGCCTACCAAAAGACAAGCTGCATTAACAATGGCAGATGTTGCTAAATCAATAGGTTTTCATTTACCTCATATAATTATACTTTTAAGATGCTCATCCCTTTTTTAAACAAGAAATTGATCATTTATATTTTAGAACAAAGCCTGATACCACATATGGATAAAGTTCTCCCATTGTTGTTAGATGGATTATCGGGAAGAACTTGGGCTGGAAAAGAAGCTCTTGTCGATGCATTGGCAGCAGCTTCTGTTTCTTGTCGAAAATATTTTGAAAGTGATGAAAATCGTGCTCAGTTGGATACTTTATCTAAAGTATTTAAATCTTTGACTAGTCATTACCTTTTTTGATTATATTATAAACGATTTGCTAATTCCTTTTATCATGCTATATGTTTAATTGTTTGCAATCTTAGGTTCTTATACGTGAAAGCAAAAAATCAAATAGAAAATACCAACGTAGTTGTATTGAAAATCTTGGGAAATTTGCCGATGCTTATAGTGATACGTTAGAACTTTATCCCGAAGTCAAAAATTTTTTGTTTGAATTGGCAACAGCTGAACTAGATCCTGACGAAATGGAAGTAGATGATGCAAATGAACGTCCATTATTTTTATTAGTCAAAGCAAGTGCAGTGAAGTGTCTTGGATTAGTTTGGTCAAAGAAAAAGGAAATTCAAAGTAAGAAAATTTATAGTTTCATATATCAAAATCCTAATAGTCTGTAATTTAATTTATTTCATTATTCTTCATAGTACAACATTCTAAAGAACTTGGTACACTACTGGCAAGTTCTTTGAAATCCGGTAAAAATGTATGGAATGTACGTTTGTGTGTATTAGAATCTCTTGAAAAATTTATCTACAAGTTGGACCTTAGTGGACCGCAAGTTCAAGTACTTGATGATGAAACTTTAATTAGTATATTTGAAGGATTGAAAGAAGGATTATTGGATACAAAATACGTGGCAATTCGTACTGCAAGTTTAGCCAGTTTGAAGAAAGTTATTGATAAAGTTAAAGGTAATTTTTTAAAATATTTTCTTAAAGAATGCATATCTTTAATGATTTGATGTAATTAACCGGTTCTTAATTTTGTCATATAGACACATCATTAATATCTTCTTCGGTTAAAACAAAACTGTTGGAAATTATTGATGTGGCAGAAAAAGATCCTTTAGCTAGTATTTCTGAACCTGCTAAAGAATTACGCAAATCTATTCTTTTAATTAAATAAAATGACGTAGTTATTGCAGTTGTATAGATTCATTTAAATTATATAAAATTGAAATCTCCTCTCAAGAAATATTTCTTGACGTTATTTGAATAGGTTTGCAATGGGGTTTGTTTTGAAATATTTTACTTTCTTCGCGTTCCTCTATGATCTTGCCTACCAAAGCTACCTATTCTATCTCTATTAAAATTTGTTCTTCCACGAAAAATTTTCGAATCCTTTCTTCCAGGTACATTACGAATTTCAGCACTTGACTTCCACCCATATGTATATTCTTTGCCACCTGACGGCCAACCGGGACATTTTCCACCTTGATGTTTCTTAACTAATCCTTTTAAATAAAATCATTTAAATAAGTATATTATACCTGCATTCATTAAAGTATCAATCAATAGAAACCTTTTTTCTCGGCAACTCTTCGCTTTTTGCTTTTCCTTCGTTTTGATCTAAATTTTTGTTCAGCCTCTTTATAAGGAACATGTAATACTTTATGTGGCATTAAATGACGCTCCCAAGGAATCTTTGATTCTTGAATAATTTGTTCAAATGTTATTGTTACTGAATTTATCTTTTCAATACGTTCCGGATCATCACTTTTAAAAAAATTTATAAATATTATTGATTTAATCATTTAGGAATATTGAAAGACAAATTTTACCTTAATTCATCAATTTCAAATTTTTTTCTGCGCATCTGTTGGACTAATTCATCGTAATCTTTTATATCCTTTGATTCGAGAGAAATCTTTGTAGGAGGATCACGAGCGAATAAACGAAATACTAATTGGTGATAAATAATACTATATCGTAAAAAATTTCATTTTCATTTTCTTTTATTATCGAAAAATGATTCCGAGTATCATACATTGGTCATGATCATCATTTTCTAATTCACGAGGATCCTTTAAATTTTCATCAACATCTTTTAAGGTAATTTATTGTCATTAAATAATAATAATAATAAAAATTTAATAATAAAGGTTCTTTGATTGTCTATAAATCCTACCATCCATTTGTACAATTTCAACTTCCCTATTCAACCTTTCGAATAATCTCATTTTTACGTCCTCATCATCATCATCGAAATCATCATCGAAATCATCAAATAACAACTTTCTTGAAACGATTGTTGTATCAGGAGGTATATCATACATGCCGCTTGAACTTTACAGAAAATGTTGAATTAGCATGCATTATCCTTGAGACTTTTAACTAAAAAAGAATTTTTTTTAAGTAAAATAAGAATCACCCTTTATTATGTTTAATGTAATTCATTTTTTCTTAAATTTATCTCGGAAAAAAAAAAAACCAAATAAAAAATAAATAAATAGAGAAGAAAATCGGATTCGGAGAATTTTATGTATCACATGCAATAGAAAAAGGGAACTGGAAATTGCCGGGAAAATGAAAGATGAGTCAATATTAAATCTGGGCTCGAAAATCATCAATATTTGGCACTTATATTTTAAAAAATTCGTAGTTATTACTGATTGTACTGTTAATTGGTACAATATCATAATCTTGAACGAAAGAGAAATTCCGATAATTCGTTTTGAAGATGATTAATGAAAATTTAGCAAAAGTTTTTCTAATAATGGAAAGTTCAGAAAGGAAAATTAATCAATATAAATCAACTTTATTAATGACCAAAGATTTTGCATTTCCTAAATATGATTATTTGATAACGCCTATGGCGCAATCAATTTAGAAAAAACGTTTCTCTTCTTTGTTTTTAGAATTACTATAAATAATATTTGATTTATCGCGGAAACTTCTTAGTTTTTAGAATGTCATTGACATAATCCGTTTGCATCAAAGATGCTAAATATTAAGGAAATAACCCAAGGGATAAATCGGTAAGATTCATAATAAAACTCCAAACTAGTGGGTCTTGAAGGCAAGAAAAAAAAGTCCCATCGAAAAGAAGAGTCGCTTCTCTTAGGAATCTTTGTCCCACCATTCTGACTTTGTATTACAAAGTCCCTTGTAAGGGAGTTAGGCGCAACCTTTAAATGTCATGATGTCATTACATAGAAGAATCGAGAATGCATCATCTTATAAGTTTGCAAGTGAATTTTGTTTTGGTAATATTCTTTTTTTTTTCCTTTGTAAGCCTGATAAACTTTTATCAGAAACTTGTATGTTTCAATTAATTAAAGCTCATGATTCGTAAAGCGCAAAAAAATTTTTTTCTTGGTGTCCCTTGGTTACCTTGTGGTTCTTCGCATGAGTACGCATGTGAATGATTTCCTTTGCTTTTGATTGATTCAATGGATTTCCAAAGAGGATTTGAAATTGAACGAATCATATTTCAATGATTTCAATGACAAATTTTCCTAAATGAAAGAAAAGACTTGCCAAAAATGGGGAAGATCGTCCAGATGAACGATTTACCCACTTATACATTTTAGAACGACCATTTCTGATATCTATTGGCAATTAAGGTTTAATTTATCGATTGCATTTCCTTTACCAGTTATTAATTATTACTCATCAGTAAAGTCTAGAATTCATGCTATTCTAAATCAATCTTAGTGTTTGCATTTTGCAACAATGGCAACTTATTATAATACCTAATTTGTAACCATTATTGTAAATATATAATGAAAATCGCTGTTTTATAGGTTTGAAAATGAAAAATATATTTATATTAATAATAAAGTAATACTACGGCGTATTGCCAAGATAATAATAATAATTGATAGCAAAAAATGTACATTGCTTGTAAAACGATCAAACAAACATTACTCAAATAGGATAAAATAATAGGAACTTCCGATTTATAGCAAATTTTCTATTTTTTTTTTTTTTTTTTTGTTTATTCTAATTTTTATTTTTATTTTATTTTATTTTATTTTTTTTTCTCAAAAAAAAAAAATAATCATTGCTTATTATTTCAAAAAATAAGGATAATGTCAAAAATGAGGAAAATAGTTATAGAAACACCCATAACTGAATTCCTTGACGAAAGACTCCTCTTCTACCAAATTAAAGTATATAGGGATGATGAGTTTGAAAATGTTAGTTCCATCGATTCGAAAAGATTCGGGAAGGCTAAAAGCGCCGTGGTTAAAGAAGGAGGAAATTCTGTAATCTTGAAACGGATTGACATCGAAAATATTGATATTCGCAATTACGTTCAAGAGGTTAATATAAGAAATTTTTTTGGGAGAGCTACTATGATAAATAGTACACAATTTTCCATAATTCTAATACTCGTTTTCGTCGTCGTTCATCCCAGATTAAATTAATAAAGGAAGCTGGTTCGAATAACTCCGTATTAGAATTTTATGGAGTTCTTAAAGGTGACGTAAATCAAATTTATTGCATTATTTCCGGTATTAAATCAAAAATCTTTAACACCAAATTCAAATATAAATAGATAGATTTGAGGATGATTATCATCTCGTATTTGAATCTGTCGATTGTAGGACTCTTGGTCAATATTTGCAATTCAATGAATTGGATTGGAAGCAAAAGGTTAAGATTGCTTATGAAATTGCGAATGCTTTAAAATTCTTACACGAAAGGAACATCATCCATAAAAATTTGGTAAATTTTAGCATATCATCTTATAAAATTTCTCTTTTTAAAATGATAAAAATTTATTGATTTAATTTCATTGGATAGACGACGGGTAATATATTATATGATAATGTAAATGAAACCATTAAATTGATCAATTACAGTATATTCGAACGGAATTCGGCTCCTAAAAAAAACAACTTTATAAATAAATTGCGTTTTTGGAAACGTGATAGTGAATCATGTCGGTATCCCAAAGAGTATGATATTTATTGTTTAGGAAGCATTTTATTTCAACTTACGCAAAACGTCAAAAGTACATTTGATGGGGATTGGGAAAAGTACTTGAAATATTATCCACCGGAAAATGTACAGGATAAGTACAAGCAAATCTGTAAAGGTGCGGTTCATTTTTTGACGAAAATTTTTTGAATCACGTGATACTTACGATTTGTTTTTATCGTTTTACATAGATTGTTGCCGTAAGGTGTCGAATGATCGACCAAATATACAAGAAGTTGTTAAAAATTTATATGATGCTTTACAAAGTGTAAATAACGTGTCAAGTTCACAGAGAATGCAAAGTACACTTAGCGTACATAGTATACATCGTTCTAATACGACGAGAAATAAACCTAGCTTCATCGGTTCTATTAGAAAGAAAAATAAATCCTCGTTAAATCACAAAGGTCCTTCACATCAGGAAACTCAAAATATTAATGTACCACCCTCAAAAAAATCAGATGCCATTCCTCAACCAATCTCATACCTTACACCTGAACCCGATATCGTCATTCCCCAATCGACCTCTTATACATATACTTCACCTCATAATCCGATTAAACCACCACCTACATATCCAAGAAACTTACCAGCTATTTCATCTCCTTTAATAACTCAAGATTTCATTACTGAAATGTATAATGAATTTTATGATAAAGTAGCCAATTGTAAGATGGAACTTTCCAACCTAAATGATGCTTACATATTAGATTATATAAACAAAGCAGGTCAGAGTGAAAGTAAAATATTAGAATATATTGATGCAAAACAATCCTTTACGATCAACAAGGTACTATTAGCGTTATTTCATCAACTCGGAATTGGAACTCCTGTAAATTCACGAAAAGCATTTGAATTGTATAAAGAAGCGTCATCAAAGGACACGTTTGCGGCTTATGTGGCAGGTGAATGTTCTCTTTGTGGTGAAGGAATCTCCAAAAACATGACGGAAGCTTATAAATTTTATGAGAAATCTGCCCAAGGTGGATTTGCACCAGCTTATAAGAAGATAGGATTATGTTATGATATGGGAATGGGTGTAGCAGTTGATAAGGAAAAAGCTTTTTATTGGATTGAAAGATCCGCAGAAGCGGGTGATAATTATGGTTATTATACTTTAGGAAGGTTTTATGAGATTGGGAACGGATGTGAAAAGGATGAAAGTAAGGGATTTTCTTGGTACATAAAAGCAGCAGATCATGGAATTACAGCTGCATTGCATAAAGTGGGAACCTGTTATAAATATGGAATAGGTACTTCGGTAAATACGTATAAAGCAATTGAATACTTTAAAACAGCAGCCATGGAAGGATGTCATTTTAGTCAAGTTCAGTTAGGACAAGCGTATGAATTGGGTTCGGATATTGAAAAGAATGATCGCGAAGCTTTTAAATGGTTTCGAATGGCCTCCGATCAAAATTATGACATGGGTCACTACCACCTTGGACGATGCTATGACTTTGGTATTGGAACTGGTATAGATTGGAACAAAGCATTGGAATTTTATCAAAAAGCTTCTGTTAATGGAAATACTTTGGCCATTTCAGCTATTAGAGATATTCAATCCAAAATGCAACGAACCGACCTATTTTATTGGTAAATGAAACTACTAAAGTTTACTTGAATTAAATTTCCATATTGTTCATGGACCTGTATATACAATTAGAGTCTCATTTGGAACATATATTATTATTATTATTCATATATTTAATTAAATGTTAAGTATAGCTATATAATTAAGTTTAGATTTTTTTGTATCATTATCTTATCGTTTTATGTAAATAAGTATGACAATTAGTAAATAAGAATATAAATAAAACACATTTATCATGTCTTTCCTATCCACGTGATCATAAATGTGTCATCCCTCTGTTTTTTTACTATGTAACTAGCAAGTACATTTTTTCAGTACCCACTGGCTAACTGGTGTGATCACAAGATTCGTATGATTGTGGTTGTATTACATATGAGTTTTTTAAATTATTAAATTTTTAAATTATATTTAAATAATTTTGTAATTTAAATAAAAGTAATTTACTTAATGAATTTATTTGATTTTAGCAATTCGTTTTATTTTTTTTTTAATAATTCATTATTTTATTTTTTTATATTTGATCATTCATTTATAATATAAATCATATATATTTTAATTTAAATAAATACTATCCTTATTTTATTAATTTTGTTTAATTGAATTGTGTAAGAAGTTGAGAAAATGTATGAAGATTTGTCTCTGAAATAGTAGCCAATCTTTGGTACTCTAAAATAACTTCAGGATCAGTCATGAAAGCTCATTTGTCAAGATGAGATATCTTAACATTGTTTCAAGTAGAGTCTCTACTAAACGCAACATAAGCCTGACCAGGAGCAAAGATGTTTCTATCTAATGCAAGGGAGACTCTTGGTAAAGTTAATCCTTAGGTTTTATGAACTGTTAAGGCGAATGAATTCTGTAAAGGAAATTGTGAGCAAGAACAGTTATTTCCATTTATATTAAAATAATGAATTTGTTTGTAAACATTAACATCAATTATAGAACTTCAAACTGAAAAAACAATACAAACACATACATTTGCTATATTTACATCTGCAATCACACCTACAGTACCATTACATATACTTTGATCAATTAATTAATTATTAAGATATATAACATGAGCATTTAGTTGCAAACGTACACTCAAGAGAAGATTTGTTTTTATTTTGAACATCTTATCAGATAAAAAAGGAGCACAACTTGTAAAACTAATAAGTCTGATGCTTGTGAAATATGAAAATGATAATGTAAAACAGGAAGCATACTGCAAATCATCCTATTATTGTTCGCGCATTTTTTTTAAAACCTATAATATTAATAGTATTGAGAAGTATATCAATTGCAGGATAAGATAAAATTTCTGAATGAGTTGTTGTAATATATTTCAGGTATTTTTTGAAATATTATCTATATAAATTTCTTCTAACATATGAAAAAATCTTATGTCTGCCTGTTAATGTTGTGGAATCTTTAAGAAAAGAGGATAGAATATAGTTCAAATAGCAGCTCAAAATATATGTTGTCCAGTTATAGGAGGAAGTTAAGCAAGATCACCAACTACTATAATATTTATACTATCAAAAATAATAGCATTACTATGAAGAGATACAAAAATATTAGAAATAAAGTCAAATAGTTCTGTAGAAGTCATAAAAATCTCATCAATAATAAGAGTATCTATAGTTTTTAAAAAGTTCTTTAATTATTCATCAGTGAAAGCATATGTATAAAAACCTTCTGAAAATAATATAATACATAATACTGAATGGATTATTTTATTCTTATATTTTAAGCGGCTACTCCAGTTGAAGCTAGTAAGAGAAATTTTGAACGTCTTTGATTGAGCATGTTAATAATTAAATTAATAATATAAGACTTTTTTGTACCTTCTGATCCTGTAATAAAGAAGTAAGACCACTTTATTCTATTATTTTTTTTTCATATACATAGAAATAGTTGATAAAATATGATATTAATCTTGTGATAATTCAAGCATAGTTATTTTAGGAAAAATGTGTAGAAGAATTTTTAAGTTCTCTATTTGAATTTAAATGATATATGAAAAATTTGCAAGAAATTGCTAATGTAATATTTGCAATAATCTGTTTAACATTTCTGAAAATTAAGTATTGAAATGAGTTATTTGATATTAATGTGTAGTTGTGATATTATTTTGTAAATCATTTAGAAAATTAGAAAATAATAATAAAAACTTATTATGATAAGTTTCTCCTTCTGTGATATAGTCTAATTCATTTCTTGCAGGAATATTTAAAAGCAACTTTTGATAAAAGTAGAGCTCTCTATCCTCTAACTTGAGAAATCAATATCTTATTAAAATATCTTTTGTTCTTTTTATCACATATTTATTTAGAAGATCATGAAAGTTTTGACGTAATATGATTAGAGGAGATGAAAGAATAATAGAATATCATTCATAATATTGAAGATAAGTAAGAATCTCAAATTTAGAAAGATACAAATATGCAAAATATTTATGATTATATTATCATAATAAGAGTTTTATTATCTTTATCTAATATATATATAGGAAGTATTATATATGAATGAGTAGAAGAAGATTCAGTAGTAATAAATTTTATAGTTCTTAAAGAATTGCAGATTGAATGACCTGAAAGCAAGAATATGAATTCTATTAAACTAAAATGATATATAACAATATGTTCTCTTAATAATCATTTTCACAGATATTAAACATATGTGATGGTTCTCTTTTAGTAATATATTTCATCATGTAGCATGTAAATCCTTTATTTATTATATATTGTGTATTCATATGCATATTTCAGATTAAAAAAATAGTTGAATGGTAGAAAACGACCTATTTATCAGCTTCAGTTAAGTATTTATAAATATAATAAGAATTACCTTCTTCATAATGTATTATTTCACTAAAAAATTATGAAAATCCTTTTTTGTAAGTATAACCTAGTAGTGTCAGACCTTGACATTTTTGATTATAAGTATAAATTTGATTAGCAATTACAACAGTATAGAGTTCAGGTTCGTATTTAAGATCTGGTATTATAGATCAAAATATATCATTTGTAATCATAGTTTTAATAGTATTAGTTGTTCAATAATAACTATATGTACACTCCCCTCCAAAAAATATCTGACCACTTGCTGATCATTTACTGATCATTTGAAATTATAGCTGATTTTGACGTTTATTACT